TAGTGGACTAATTCTTGTTTTTCATTTCTTAACGACTGCTGTTTTTTATTTGGTGAACATGATTAGGGAAAGGCGAAAAGTAAATAGGGATGAGGAGGAGTTTGGAGGAGGAGTTTGGAAAGATTTTTTCATTATTTATGAAAGAAAAGTCTTTCTTATATTTATTCTTATAACTTATAATATTTATTATGTGAATATTTGATATTGGTAAGTAAGACTTGTTACTTTTTTAATAACTGGCTTGATAAAAAAAAAAGGAGGTAATAATATTACTTTCAATTTATTCAAGGGATAATAAGACAATTGTATTTTTATGAAATACGTACTGACGAGAAAATTACGCAGATAAAAAAATTTATATTACTTAATTACGTACCATAGTTAATGTTTGTTTATATTATCATAACCATTTATTCTCGGTAATTACATTTTTCAATTCTACTTAAATATATAACCATGTATTTCCTTGTATAAAATGAGTCCATTCTCTCTCTCTCTCTCTCTCTGTATTTCTATCTCTCTCTTCAATCACTTTTCCTTAATTTATCCTTTATTCTCTCAATCAACATTAATTTCAAATTTTAAAATTTTCATTCATTCCCTCCCAATCGTGATTCCCGATTTATAGGTAATTATTTTACAATTAATTTCTCATTACATTTTTTTTTTGCAATTTCATCATTTTTCAATTTGTATTTGTAAATCACTGAGATTTCTTTCGATTTTTCAGATTTGCATATCTAAAGATGAAGATGGTGAAACAGTTGGGGTAATTTGTATAAAATAATTTTGTATAAACTTTTAAAGTTTGGATCTACAATTTATTGTATATTTTCATACAAATCTATATTTGTATACACGAATCCAATTGTCTATTTGTGATGTAAAAGGAAATCTCATTTTAGTTTTTTCAAATAAATTACTTTTTACTATATTTCTTTGAATTTGGGTTTGGTTTGGGTCAAATCTGTACCCTTAGTTATATAATAATTGTATAATTGTTATTCAAATTGTACAATATTGTTTGTATTAACTGTTCAAGTTCGGATTACTACCGTATATTTGTTGTTTTCACATATACTGTTGAGGTTTGTTGTTTGTATAAATTCAAATATTTGTAGAAGCATTTTCTCTAAAAACTACCCTCTCAATAAAGTAGTCAATGTAACAGTTTGCATCATCTAATTTTTTAGAATATATTACCAAAATACCGATGGAAGACATTCATCTACAAATAGAAATAACTCATCTTTACATATACGAACCGAAATTCAAAAATAAACAAACACACACTCACCAGACAACTTTTCGACAAATAAATAAAGTAAAACTATACTTATACTAGATATACATGTCAACGATCAAATTATACAAGTCTACAAATCAAATTTATGTCAGTTATAGAACAACAAACGTAATTATTAAACTTATACAAATAACTTTTACACATAACTACACTCAACAATCAATTATACACATATAAACACCGATCCCATCTAATTATACACATACAAACAGTAACTAATACAATTTTACAAATAATGTAAAATTATACATATACAAAAAATACAAGTTTATACACAATCATTGATGAAAATATATTTGTACAATTATGAACATATACAATCTGACCAAAATTAAGTAAATTATACAATTAATTTTTATTTTTATACATTTACGTACTTTAATTGCAGATATCAGGTCGATTGTCTCGATCAATTTAAATACAATTGAAGATGCTAGGTGAGTTCCCTAGGTCTCCTCCAAGATCATTATGTGAAGTCCTCTAATTGTTGAATGTCTCATAAGTGGTTTAATGAGTAATGTTGACTTAGTTAATGTATGATGAATAGAAAGGTCCTTACCTAGACTAGCTTTGAAGATTACCTAGGTAAGCTTGAAGAGGGTGTATGAGCGGTTTCTTCATGTCTTATTTTGGTGAATCTTGGAGTAACTTTAGGTGGAGAGTCTAAATGATAAAAAGGGGTTACTTAGTGATTACAGAAATATGTATTATTGTAATGTAAAGAATAATCTTACTTTGGGTAGTCCTAAGGATTACTTAGGTGTGCTTGGATAGGGTATATGGGCGGTCTCTTCTTGTCTTACTTAAGTATGTCTTAGGATAACACTTGGTTGGGAGTCTAATGCTTATGTGTACTATAAATGATTATGATTATCTCTTATCAATACTTGGATATGTCTTATATGTGTATGTTTTCGTGTAAATGGTTCTTAAACTTATTTCATGGGATTTACATCAAAAGAGCATAAAAATTATGTGATAAAGTAAATTTCCATTTTAGCATGGTTTTCTTGCATGTATACATACTTATTCCATTCAATGTGCGAATTCCAAATGTTGTTTATTTTTACAAGTGTAGGTGGCAAGTGAGAATTCTCTTGGAAGTGAAGCTTGGGAATAGCATTCTCTCAAGTCAAGTTGGTATGTCCACATATGATTCGAGGACATAGTTATGTTTAGTTTTCCTTATCAAAAGACGGTGTAGTAGACTTTGGTTTAACTTTAATTTATGTATGGAATGTGATCCTAAGATTTATATGTGGCAAAGATAGCTATGAAGAGACTTAGTTCTTTCTTATATTTCTATAAAAGAGTTTAACTGTAGTTGAGATGAAAAGTTTTAATTTCGCACTACTTTTCATATATAGATATATATGTGTGTGTGTGTGTGTGTGTGTGTGTGTGCGCACATGTGTGTGCGCGTGCGTGTGTGTGTGTGTGTGTGTGTGTATGTGTGTGTGTGTGGTTCCCCCGTACATGACTAATGGGGAGATTAGAGGGGCTTTCCTTACCCTATCCCAAGCGATGACGACTCAAGTGAATAGAGATATTGGGCCTAGGATAAATACTCTTGATATTACCATGAACTCTGGATTGAGGGACTTTGTGAGGATGAAGCCTCTTATCTTCCTTGGTTCTAAGGAGGAAGAGGTATTTAAAAAGGTTTTAGATGGTGTCTACAAGGTGTTGAGTGCTATGGGGTGACTTCTACAGAAAATGCGGAGTTAGCTTCATACCAATTGAGGGAAGTTGCTCAAGTGTGGTACACTCAATGGAAAGACAATAGGCAGGTTGAATCGGTTACTATAAAATGGGAAGAGTTTAAGGAAGCCTTCTTAGGAAAGTATTTTCCCCAATGAGAAGAAGGAGGTGAAGGTTTAGGAGTTCGAAAACCTTAGGGAAGGTAACATGAATGTTGAGGAGTATTCCTTTAAATCTACTCTATTGTCTAAGTATGCTCCATCCTTGGTTTCTAACCCTAGGAATGAGATGACTAGGTTTTTTACCGGCGTTGATGACCTTCTGAAAGAAGAATATCATATGGCCATGATCCATAATGACATTAACCTATCCAGAATTATGGTGTATGCTCAATCTATTGAAGATTCCAAGTTTAGAAAGATCACAAGGAATTTGAAGATGGGTAGATCCGAGGAAAAAAACCAACCTAGGTTTAAGAAGAGGGTTCCAAATCAAAATGGGTCTAGTGATCCTAAGGTCAAGTATGAGAGATGTGGTGGTTCTCAAAGTGTTAAGCATACTTCCTACTATTGCGGCTAGAGGAAGAGAGGCCACACAAGTTCCTCCTAATGCCCCTGATGTTGGTGCACCAAAGAGGAATCTTTTGTATGTTATCCAAGCTAACAAGGAAGCAAATACGGATGAAGGTACTGGCAAGTTATAGTTTTATCTCTTAAGTTGTGATGGGTTCGTTCTATGTGGGAGAGTATGGTGAATAGTTGGGTTGTGGAATGTTGCCTGTTCTCTTCTATTTTATTCAAGCTTGAGAGTTAGAACTTCATAGTAGCATGTTGCATGCGCTTATGAGTCTAAGTGAAAAATAATTTCATTGATCTCCTTGCATTATGAATATCTTTTCATAAGGTTATGTTTATTTGTTAAAATGAGTTCATATGATTTTGTCTCTCATATTATCATGCCTTTATAATAAATAGCTTAAAAGCTGTTTTAATGAACTAGTAAGCATACTTTACTGCACAGTATTTGAAAATGTTGCTTAATTGTGCTTTCATGAGAAATTGGCATCTGTGTATAGAGATGATATATATGAGCATGTTGATATGTGGAGAAGGAAGTTCCTCCTATATGTAATAAGAAGATAGAGTCTTATTACATGATAAGTTGTAGACATTTTTCCTACTTTCTTGTTGTGTTTGAATCTCTTATTTATGTGGAGTTGATGACATGATGTGTATGGCTATTATCTGCTAGTATTGAGTCTTTATCTCTTCATAGTGTTGTAAGTGTTTAATGTGTTCGAAGTATCATTCGAGGACGAATGTTATCCATGTGAGGGAGATTCTTAGAACCCCAAAAATGAACTGGGTTGAATTAGATCCTAACATATTGGTTATTAGTTAATAAGGTCTTAAAATGATTAATGTAAGTGTTACAACTGAGTTTGAGGAGTTTGGAAGTCAAACGTCCAAGAACGACCAAGACGTCTGGAAGCTAGTCTAGTTGAACTAGTGTGTAGTAGGGTTTTGTAGTGGTGTTTTGGGGTATAATATTAGGATGAAATTGAGTATCGAGGGTTCCTACACATATACTAGTATGTAAAAGGTCAAAAACATCAAGTATGACCCCATGGAGACCACCTTAAGGGTCCCAAAAGAGGACCCAAATGTTGGCCTACGAAGCTGCCGCGGAAACCAACATTTAGAGTCAATGGTGTCGCGCCAGCTACACTTAGAGGGAAAAAATTTCCCTACGATTCGGGGTCAACACCAAACATTATGTCTCAGATTAAATTCCACATCCAAGATTTGGAAATGTCCCCACGACGTGCAGCCAAGTCCCTAATTTGGTTGCGTCATTTTTAAGTCAAATTAAAATTGGTTAAAATATTTATTAAGTTAAGGGGTATTTTGGGTAATTTGGAAATTATGTATTGACGGTTATTGAGTCTTTTTAAAACCCAAATTCACCAATAAAATCAAAACCCTCAACCCAAAACAAAAGCTCCCAACTCATTCTCTCCAAGACCTCCATTTTTGAAGCTTTGAAGCTCCAAGGAAGAAAACCAAATTGTTCAAGTTTTTCAATCCAATTTCGTGGGATTTATTCAAATAAGGTATGGTTATTTCATCCTTTACTATTCTCTCATTTAAGGAGCCAATTCCAATGGTTTTTCAAAGATGTTCAAATATATAGAATTTTCTATTTTGAATTCTAACTATGAGTTCTTGCATGAAAAGGTTTAAAACAATGTTTTATGATATAATTGATGTTTATTGATGATTTTAAGATCAAAATTTTCATGAACCCATGTATTCCCTGAATTCCTAGTTTTGGGTTTAAATTGGGTGAATTTATCTTGATTTGATTTTAATAAATTCATGTGTATATTGTATTGGGCTATTAAATTATGTATAAATCATGATAGAATTGTTCATAGGCTTCCTTATATTAGTGATATATATATTTTATATTGTTGGATCATTGATATGGATTGATTGTTGTCTTATTATTGTGCACATGTTTATAGGTAAGAGCCTTTGCAAAGTGAATTGATTGAAAAGGCTAAGTAATGGTGATGATGATGATTGGAAGGTGGTGAGTTGACCTAATTCCTTTATATTGTGTAGAATTGATATTGAATTGTATTGATTGGTATGGTCCACTTATGGTGGCAGTGTTTAGGTGTTATAATTGTTATGAACATGGATTTATCGACGTTACTATGTGAATTGTGGTACTATCATGTTAAAGCTTGTGTAGATGAACTATGTGAACGATTATATGGTATATGTGTAACTGTGAGGTGAAAGTATGATTTCTTCTGAATGATTATATGTGAATATGATAAACTATGATGAGTCTCTATCTGTGTATTGATAGGGTATCTTGTTAGGTACACTTGGTTGTCCCTACATGGTGCTTCAATGTTATTGAATATGTGACGTAGTACCTTGATTGGTAGATGTAGGTCCCTCTAATTGATACATGAAAGTATATGAATGTGAATTCTTGACTTATAGGCTTAGGCAACTTTGCCATGAATGTGTATGAATGGATGATGAATGAAAGTCTAGGATCGGTAGACCTAAAGAGGTGACCTTATAAGGATGAATAATATAGGACCTTGAATAGTTAAAAGAAGGTCACGAACATAGAACCTTGAATATAAAAAAGAAGGTTAATAAAAGTGTTGAAGCTAAAGACTAGAATGGTATCCTTCATGTGTGGAATGATGGAATTAGGGGTTGGTTGGCATGAACGGCATGAAACCATATCTAAGGAAGTCATAAGAGCTATCCTAGTAGCCCTTGGTTGGAAGACCTAGTGGACCCATCCTTGGAAATAAAAAGTGTTAAGAGTTGGCAAGGCAAAGTAATGAAACCTTCTCTAATTCACCTAGGAAATGATTACTCTATGAGAACAAAGGCAAAGCACTGAGTGAATATGCTTGTGGTAGTAGGTTTACTCAAGATGATACCAGAGTAAAATGAAACCCCTGATATTCCTTAACCATGTGCTAACATTGGATGTGTCCTAGTTCTACCCTTGGCAAGTATAACACCTTCCTCGGAGTAGGGTAGACTACGGATTCCATACCTAGATAGTATGAGCTATGTCGGTTATGACTAATCTCATCATATGGGATGTACACTCTAGTTATTGAATAGGTTCTACAATGTGTAGGTAGTGGAATGAGACACTATCTATACATAGCACGAGTAGGCTTTGAAGATGCTAGGTGAGTTCCTTAGGTCTCCTCCAAGACCATTATGTGAAGTCCTCTAATTGTTGAATGTCTCTTAAGTGGTTTAATGAGTATTGTTGACTTAGTTAATGTATGACGAATAGAAAGGTCCTTGCACAGAGTAGCTTTGACGGTTGCTTAGGTAGTCTTGAATAGGGTGTATGGGAAGTCTCTTCATGTCTTCCTTACGTGAATCTTGAAGTAACCTTAGGTGGAGAGTCTAAATGATAAAAAGGGGGGGTTACTTAATAAATATAAAACTATGTATTATTGTAATGTAAAGAATAATCTTACTTTGGGTAGTCCTAAGGATTACTTAGGTGTGCTTGAAAAGGGTGTATGGGCGGTCTCTTCTTGTCTTACTTAAGTAATTCTTAGGATAACTCTTGGTATGTGTACTATAAATGGTTATCATTATCTCTTATAAAATACTTGGATATGTCTAATATGTAAAGTTGTATTGTAAATGGTTCTTAAACTTATTTCATGGGATTTACATCAAAAAATCATAAAAGCATGAGATAAAGTAAATGTCCGTTTTAGCATTGTTTTCATGCATGTTCACCTACTTAGTAGATTCAATGTTCTAATTTCATATGTTGTTTAATTTTACAAGTGTAGGTGGCAAGTGAGGAGTTACAATGGGAATATCGAAAATGCACAAACTCGACGGCGTTGGAAAGATATCTCCAAGGGCTTTCCATCCATTTAATGAACTGACTTTAAATCATCTTGAGCTAGAAGTTATAACTGTTTGAGAATGAACAAATACTTACTATCTTGACTTAGGAAATTTTCCAGATTTTTCTGTTCTTTCCAAAAATGATAAATTTTAGTTTATTAGCAATTTCTTGGCTATTACGAGTTATGATATGTTATATTGGTGATGATTGATTTTGGGGATCAGAGGTAGATGTGATTGTAGTTGGATAAGGATGGATGTGGTTGTGGATGGAAGGCAGTAATGATTAACTCAGTGGTTGTAGTTCTGGAGGTCATAGAGAGGTGTCACATCAACTTGTCTATGTTTCTCCTTTATAAATATATATATATATATATATATATATATATATATAAGCATCAAAAAGCCTTCCTTTACCTACTTTTGAAGAAACCATTGCTAACCATCACTAATTCGTTATTGTCTTTCCAAAATACTTTTTTACCAGATAAAATGGTGGTAATCAAGAAAATAAGGGAAAACTATATATAATAACAAATTAATAAATCAAATTAAATGCTATAACCACACTTTGATTTAATTGTGCCCTATAGCAAACTGTTTGTCATTCACCTCTCTTCCTCAAACTTTCACTCGCCACTCTCCTTCTCTCTCTCACTGCCTCTTAATTTAATACAAACGCAAGTGTGTAAAATGTGTTTTTGTTTGTATAAAGTGAGAAAAAATTGTATACATATATATATTTTTGTTCGCCTCTCCCAGATCTCGCTCACCACACTCGCCTATATCGCTTATACAAACAGAAATGAAATGTATAAATTGTGTTTTTATTTATATAAAGCGAGAGAAAATTGTATATGCACTTGCAAATATATATATCTTCGTCCTATACACCTATAATTATACAATACAAATATTCTCCTACCCAATTTTCTTTTGTCTTTCTCTCTTTCTCGTTTTATACATACACAAATTATACAATTGATTTGTATACAACTGCTTTTTTTTGTATATGTATAGCGAATTCTACGTATTAGTACGGAGCGCAATTATGCAAACTTTGTTATAACATATAAATATGAATTTTGTGTTTGTTATATGTGAAAGTTGCTCACAAAATAAATCCAAAAGATCCGGCCCAGAATGGGCGTCCACCAACAAAATAGGAAACAAACGAAATAAAATCAAACAACCGAAAAAGGAATCAAATTAGGGCAAAATAAATATAGAAACTACAGACGTCTTCTTTCCCTTTTCATCTAGGAAACCAAACACCTCTTTTGACGAATTTCAGCTATTGATCTTCATTCTCCACACTGACGAAGTATAGAAAACATCAGTTACGTACCTACACTATCAGAATCAGAAAAGACGCCGGCTAATTTCATAATAGGTGACCTCAAATCTCTTACACATGTTCGTGACATATGACGTAACAAACATTCCTTGTCAACCTGATTGTCAGCCTAAGACTATATAGATGGTAGCTTCCATCCTTTGGTATAGATCATTACACCGGGAATTCTTAAAATACTAACGTATAAATTTTTTAAGCAAGCTTTTACTATGTCACTTTTGATAGAATTAGATTTTGAAGATGCTGATACCACACATATGCACAATGAACAACCAGACCTAAAAGTTTTGCATTTTTTCAAATAAACATACTATATACCTTCTCAAGAACATTGAAATAGTCCGGTCCTCAGTCCTTCAGGTAGTTGTATCAAAAACTAGGAATTTGTTGTTTATCGAAGAGAATCAATTTGAACTTCTTGTGGTAGTTGTTGCAATGAATTATAGCTTACAGTACCCATTCAACAAGTAATAATTTTGTCAATTTTATTGCCTTCTCATTGTATATAATGCATTGTACCAATGCATTTTGCCCTCCAAAACTTTATCATGTCAACCTTCATTCTTAACTTCCAAGGAGTATTCCTTGTACCCTCAACCATATTCAGCAAAGCTAATGAATCTGTCTCCAATCGTACATGAAAAAAATTGTTCCTAATGCACTATGCAATCACATTCCCCAAATCCACTGCTTCTGCATATAAATCAGTGTTATCTTCAATTCGTATAACATTAGAATAAATAAACTTCCCTTCATCACTTCTCACACAAAAACATGATGAACTTGGGCCTCCCATCCGAATTACATTTAAACAATCCTCATGGAAGAAACTTCCCCTTAACCTATAAAATGCAGAACTCACATATATTCTTCAAAGTACTGCACCATATTTGGCCCGTTAATTGGTATATCCTTCAGCCAAGGATATGTCGCATTGCAAGCATATGAAGAGTGTCGCTAATAGCACTTACAAATCTATTATTATCATAAATCTCGATTAGCAACCACATTTCCTCTTATCTATAAATGCCACAAATTAATTTAGGAGTAGCTCGATATACTGACATAAGTTTTTCCCCACACTCAGCCTTCCTCCATTCTGTAATAGTCCGATTTCACAATGTCATCTATTGGTAGCTTTAGATTCCACAACCTCCAATTTTAAAAAAATCACAGGAATACCTTTTACCCAAATTTCTTCCAAATCCATCTTTTATGCTTTTTTGGTCTCTGAAGTTTCCTAAAATTTCCTTTAGTAGATGGCATCCACCATGCTCTATCTTTGTCGTCCAAGCTCTCTCATATCATAAGATTCTTTGTCACATGTTCAACAATTTCATTAGGCAAATATTGATGTAGTCTTTTATAATTTAATTTTTTTATTGTCCATGAAAAATTCACCTCTTTTATTGCTATTGTTAAAGACATAATTTGTGTCGAACTCTTGATATAAAGGTCCTTGTGTAGTCAAGTTTTGATGTCAGGCATCAGAATCATCCTTCTTCGTTCCCACCAAATTTCTTTCTCAACCTTGTCTCTAGCTTCCAACATATGATTTCATATCCGTTAAACCCTTTTCCGTTTCACCATAGCAGGGATCTTTTGCAATACTTTTCCACATAAATTAGACCAAAGAGTACTAGTTATATAACTTCCATCACAACTTTGCAAATAAGGCCTTTGTAATATCAAATAAAGAACTGAAATCTAGCCCTTCTTGTTTAGAAAAATATAATTTCAACCAAAAAACCTAGATTAGATCTACCGTCTTCCTTATTACTTTTTAAGAATTTTGAAAAATCTTGTGCAAGTCATTCAAAGAGTGTTTAGTATGAGCTAAATTTGATAAAAGATATATAGGCATGTTTTGCAACACATTTTTAATCAAAACAACTTGCCACCTAAGGATAATAACTTATTCTTTCAATTCTGTAACTTCCTTTTTACCTTTTTTTATGATTTCAAAATAGAATATCTTTTTCTTTCTTGAATAAATATTGGGCATCCTAAATATATGAATGAGAACACACATTTTTCCATTCCTATGAATAAGCCCATCTACTACGCAATCCAAGAAGAAGTCTTGTGAAATAAAAAGTAAGCTCTTTTATCTTTGTTGATAAACAGACTCAAGATCTACTCATATATTCTCGACACTTCCCTAACAAGATAAAGAGATTCTTAATCTGTTGAAGTGAATATTATTGTGTCATCTGCATAGGTCTGGTGATTTAGCTTCTCACTCCATCTTGGTAAGCCATATCCCTTATACAAACTATTGTCAAACAAGGCATTCAAAAATTTGGACAACAGTTTTATGGATAGAATAGACAGAGCTAGAGATAAGGGATCTCCTTGCTTTACTCCCTAGTAGAGTGAAAAAATCCATGATTTTGCTCATTTAAAATGATAGAGTATCATGACTTTGCTATTAATCTTCATACCATGACGGTAAAAATCTCACTGAAATCCATATTTCTTAGAACATTAGATAATTATAACCAGGATACCATATTATAATTCTTGGTCATATTTAATTTGATAACAACATTAGAAGCTTACCTCTTTTTCTTATAACAGTCACAATCTCTTGAGTTAGAAACACAATCTTAATTATGCATCTTCCTTTTATAAACCATCTTTACTATGAGATATGAACTTCGTTAGAATGTCATCTATTCTTCCATGTACCACTCTAGAGATGGTCTTATGAATCAAATTATTGAGGCTTATAGGCCTTAGATCCCAGTAGTACTTTATTTGTATGCGTGATCGACTTGGCAGGTATCACTATTTTCAAAAGGTCTTTTCTACCCTATAAACATCATACCCAACAATGTCCCAACATAATTTAACGAAATTGATGTTCAAGTCATCACGTCCACCTGCACTTGATCCCTCCAACTGGAAAATATATTTTTTTTCTCCACCTCCATTGTTGGTGTCATTAAAAACTTATCATTATCCCCTAATTTATCAAATTTGGTATACATTCTAATAAAGAAAAATCAGATTCTTCTTCAGCTTGTGTAAATTGTTTTTTTATTACAACTATTGTTTCAACCTTTTGAACCTCTCTTTCAACTCATACTCTTTATGCATTTTAAATTCTCTTTATTTGAAATCTTTTCTTCTCTTATTTACTAGACAATGAAAAAATATAATATTGTTATCACCCTCTGTAAATCATGTATGTTCAGCTTTCTGTCTCCAAAACTTCTCTTCATAATGAACATACTACTTCTTCTCTGATTATTAGTTGCTTAAAAATATCCCCAAAAGTGTTTTTACTTCACTAATTCAATGCAACTTTGATATTTTCCACCTTGTGCTTGAAAATTAAAAAAAATTGAGCAACTACTTTTTAAAATTCAGAATGCTCCATCAAAAAATTAAAAAATTTAAAAGGCTTTTTAATTGTCTGATTATTATCTGATTGTTTGTTCATCTCTCTTATTCTCCTTAAGAGAGTGAGCTACACTCTCTACGCCACATGGCTAAAAATAGTAAAAACTTGAATTTTTTAGCGTTAACCATCCTATTTCTATTCGTTTTCAAATTACAAAAATTTTCAAAAATATAACAATTTTGGATTATCACTCAACGTCTCTTTAATTG